CAAAAGCATGTGCAATGCATATTTTTATATAAATCATGAAAAAATTTCCCACCACTGACTCTGTGACTTAGGGGGTATTGACACCCATATTTACAGAAGGGAAGAAATGCAGCTCACAGAGGGTCAGCTCTTGCGGATCCCAGAACTGCAGGGATGTTCGGCACCTTCTCCTTCCATCCGCAAAGGGCCCTCCCACCCGTCGTGATGCAAAGGATGTGTGGAGCCGTACCTGTACCCCTCTTTCGCAGGCGCAGGCGGGTTGAGGGATCTCCTCGACTTGGGAGTGGCTTGCTTCAGGTGCGCCCAGCTTCACGTGCACGCCACCACGCAGCCAGTGCCCAGGTTTGGATGGGGGTGAGCACGTAGGCGCCGTGCTCGGGGTTCCACAGGAAGGGTGGGCCGCGTTTCTTAAAGCATCTCCTCGATCTGAGGTATGGGAGAGGATCCAGGGGGTCAGCGCTCGGCAGCACCCCAATGCACTCCGGCAACATGGACAGGGCGTTGTGGGACGTGTGGAGGCGGTGTTCTGAGGGTTAGCTCTGGACGGTAGGGATTCTGAGGTCTAGCAATGTGTGACCAAGGCAGGATTTTGATGGTTGAGGGATAGAACGCTTGATAGGCGGGTTTTTTTTTTCTTCAGGAGTCTCGCTGTGTCACCAGGCTGGGATGCAATGGCGTGATCTCATCTTCATGAACCTCTTTTTCTCCCATGGTTCAAGCGATTCTCCTGGCCTTACTTAGCCTCCCGAGTCGCTGGGACTACAGGCCCGTGACACCACGACTGGCTAATTTTTTTTTTTTTTGTATTTTTGATATAGAGACAGGGGTTTCACCATGTTGCTAGGCTGGTCTTGAACTCCTGACCCTCCTCGGCCTCCCAAGGTGCTGGGATTACAGGCATGAGCCACCGCTCCCGGCCTGAAGGCGGATCCTTCAGGGCGGGGTTGGGCGTAGGGTGGAGCTGGGTCCAGGGGCGGGGTCCTGAAAAGCGGGTGAGGCTGATTTTGAGGGGCGGGGTTTGGCATGGGGTGGAGCCAGGTCCGGGGGGCAGGGCCCTGGAAAATGGGCGGGGCAGGGCTTAGCATAGGGGCAGGGGCGGGGCCTCGGAAAGCAGGTGGGGCGTTCAAGGTGGAGTCGGAAGTCAGCAGCTAAGGGCAGACACCCACCTTCTGCAGCCCCACGCAGAAGCGGCGGAAAACCTCCTTCATGTTGCCCCCCTTCTCCATGGAGATGACCCGGAGGTGATCCTCCTCGTTCACCCACACCAGGAAGCTCTTGTTGTCATTGTGCCTAGGGTAAGGTGCCACAGCAAGAGGCCAAGGTGTCAGCCCCGCGGGAACCCCATTCCCAGCCCTTCCCCAAACATCTGTCCACTGTCAGGGGGAAGAGGGCCTGAGAGGTGGGAGGTGGGTGGCATCTGCCTCCTCAAAACGCAGAAGCTTAAACCTGTAGACTCTAACGTCACAGGATCTGCAAAACCTTGAATCCTGGGATCAAGGACTTTTAGGGACTTAAGTCTTTGAACAGCATTATTATAGATCCTTGGGATCTCAGGATGTTTGACGAACAGAAGCTTGGGATCAGAATTGATAACATCTTGGAAATCTGACATCTGGTCTCAGGACCAGAAAATCTTCCCATGGCAGTGTGTTAGCTCCCAATCCTAGCATCTCAGAAGCAGGATCTTAGAACATAAAATATTAAGGTCGGGTGCGGTGGCTCACGCCTGTAATCCCAGCACTTTGGGAGGCCAAGGCGGGC